GCCTGTAACAGAGGCAGCAGCATTGGAGGTGGAGGGCGGGAGGGATGCATGTAAGCATGAGAATTAACTGATGAACCTGTTCACATCCCTAGTCCAAGTACACATTATGTGATATAAATATTTCTTTTCATCAGATTTGCTACATGTTATCAAGTGTACTCTCTCTCATTCTTGTGTTACAAGACAGATCAGGCACTTCTATTTTCTCAGTACTTTTTCTAAGCCACTTGTTGTTTTATGTATATTTATCAGACTCCTTTTTGTCTTTTTTCTAAGGTGGACAGTTTGACACATGAGTTTTTCCATACCTCAGATGTTCTTGCTATTCTCTGAATTCCCTTTAATTCTTCAGTATTCCTTTAGAAATTGACTGACCAGTAATACGTAGTGGATGAGGCTTTACCATTTAAATGATATATAATGGCATTTTAATTTCCCTAATGTTCTCCATCATGCCTTATCGCAGGGTTGGAAGCCATTGACACAGATAAATCAGACTGGGCTCTGGGGCTGCAGGGATGTGGCAGGGGCTGGGATGCCAACGTGGGCTCCCCAATGCTGGGGGAGGCCTTAAGCCTAAGAGGCCAGATCCAGACAATCCAGGGGCTGAGTTTGGCCCCTGGGCCTTAGGTTCCCCACCCCTGCCTTATCCTAACACTTTGTTGTTTTTCACAGAAGTTGCACATTGGCAGCTGTCTACAGTGTTAGCTAGGTCCCTTTCCTGAGTTGATAGTTAGGACCTTATAAGGTTTATATTCCGCTGCCACCGTGTGCGTTACTTCACTATTGTCAACTTCAGAATTCATTTGCCCATCCACCCAGGTTGTTAGGACTGAAATTCTTAGATCTTGATTAACCTAAATAGTGTGTGTTCATCTCTTCAGACCATTAAAAATATCTCATGGCAGTAGTGTCTTTGAGATTCTTGCTTAGCCTTCATGTATGAAATTTATAATTAGAAACAACAGGGAAATTCCAAGACACAAACTGTTAGATGTAGTTAAGACTTAGACTACACATCAGTGATTTGGGGTAAAGGAATCTAGAGAGAGATTTCTCTAAAAAGGAAAGCAGCTTCTCTCAATAGCATAACATTAGATTTTATAGGTTGATTTGTTTTTTTGTTTTTTGGGTTTTTTTTGGACAGTCAGTGGAGCTTTTGAAGCTAAATGTTGAAAAATGCTGAAGACAAATGTGAAATGATAGATTAAATAATTAATTCTGTCCTTTTTTCCAGTGTTCTTTGAAAGTGTGAAATCAGAACTCAGGAATGGATCTTCAGAATATTCTGATATTTCCGATTCAGAAGAATCTGAGCCTGATTGCACTACTCAGGTAAATGATAGAGAAGAAAATAGTAGTTGGTCAGTGAACATCAAAATAGTATTTTATTTATATTCATGCTTTTAAATCTCGGGGTACATGTACAAAATGGTCAGTTAAGAAATTCATTCATGTACAGATTGGGCCAATATCTCTAAAATTACAAACTGTCCCAAATTTGCTCATCTACCTACTTCTTGTGTCAACTCCAATATTGAAGTCACCATAAGATGCAGTTTCTTGAGCAAGGATTTTTGAGGGTTGAACCACAAAGAAGTTTATGTATGATACCAAGGAAACTGAAGTACACGTGCTATGAGCTCTAGTGAGTGAGGTAGGTCACAGGCTTGCAATGTTTGGCCAAAACACCCTATTCTAGGGGTTGGTTTTGCTGGGAAACTGTTGTGTAGCTTGGGACAGATGATTTGTTACATCAAACTGATTAAAAAATAGAGATGAGGTGATTGTAGGGAGGATCTGGAATATATTGTGAGCAGTTCTAAGGAAGGACACCCAGAAGAAACTAAGTCTGTGGAAAAGACTTAAGCTTAGCTGCTTTGTTTTGATGCCAAAGCTCAGGAATAGGGATATAAGATTTGACTATACACTTTTTGTAAAGCAGGTTGAATAAAGGTACCTCTCATTCCCTCAACTGCTTTTGTAAGCATAGTGCTCCCCTGTAAAGACTTCTTGTAGTATTACATTGAGACTGATTCAGAATTGTGTTGCATCTTTTTTGTTTTATACTCAATAAGCTATATATAAATTTCAACAATGTACATCCAGATACACATTTCCATTATAGAACCAAAGGGGCATAAGTAAGTGATGGATCATCTCACAGACAAACTGGGTGGATTCTTTAACTGCCTGTTTTCAGATTTTAATTTTTGAAGTTTAAAAAATATAAAGCTTTTGTTAGATAACTTGGGTTCTTAGAGGTTGTTAGTTGTATTTCACTGAAGCACACTTTTAACCTTTTGAACACATTTTCTAAAATATATTAGACCTCTGTGTGTGTTCATTGTTACGGCACTCTGTGGGCTATAATTTTCTGAAAAAAATGAATTAGCCGAAAGATTCTTAGAATAGCAAATGTATCTTTAGAATTGACAATAACCATCTTATATACTATTTGCTGTTGTTCTAGCAAAAGAATTCCTCTACAGAGGAGTCAGAATGCTCAGGTGATGAAGAGAAACAGGAGGTAACATCAAATTTCAATGAGGAATCTAAAATAAGGGACCTCTGTCAAACTACCCAGAAGCCATCAAAAAATGAAACTCCAAGTAAAGGGTGAGACAAATGATGTTAGAGTTCCGTTTTCATAAATTGATAAGAACTAATAATGTAAAATCCCATTTAGTCAGTTAACAGGTTGAAGTTACATTTATCCAATTAACTGCTTAAATGGGTGGGTGAAGGGAATAGGGGGCTGGCGCGCTGGTTAACTATTAACTGTAAGTATCACCAGAAAGGGTGATGCTTATCAGTTAATTGGTTAACCACTGACATCTTTAATAAGAACTTCTAGACAAACATATTCGTAAGCCTTTGTTTAATATGAATATAAAAATCTCCATTAAATTAAATTAAAATTAAATTAATGATGGTGAAATTAATGGTGAAATTAAAATTCCCTCTGTATTCTCTAATCTTTTTTTCTAGGGAATGTCCTACCTCGACAAGTACAGAAGAAGAAGCTATTCAGGGCATGCTTTCTATGGCAGGATTGCACTATACCACATGTTTACCAGGTCATACACAAAGCACAGACTGCACAGTTAAAAGAACCTCTCATCAGGAACACAAAAGTTACCCCAGAAGTCGGCATAAGGACAGGCAGCCATCCCAGAGTCATAAAACAGAATGTGGTAAGTTCTTATATTAACTGTCATTACCATGTTATGTTATACTAGGGCTAAGATTTCAAAAAATAAATGCCTAAAATTAGGTTCCTAGATCTATAGTCAAGTTCCTAAATAAGTCTGGCATACTTTCAAGAAGTCAGTAAGACAAAAGGAGGCTCCACACCTCTATAAACCAGGCAAAATCTGTTCAGGAGACTAGCTTTAATGAGGCCTTAGCCATCAACATAAAAGTTTCTTTAGAATCTTTTGGCTTTACAAGAGTTACATGGATACGGATGAACAGAAAGCTACGATTCCTTCGGGGGGGGGGGGGAGCGGGAGTGGGAGGCGGGCAGGAAGCAGTAGTTCACAAGCGCTCTCTAGCTTCTGCTTTCATGGCATGTGCCTCAATAGATAAACCTTAGATTCTCAATCTGTTTGATTGCATCTCATACAGTTTCTATAAAAAGCACATCTAGATTTGTTCCAGGAATAAAGATGTGGAGACTAGACAGTTAATGGCAGCATCCTTATTCTTATATGGAAATCATCTTAGTAAATCTTAGAAAATGCTATAGCTGAAGCAGCTGATAAAGGAAACTTTTACCTTTGAAATGCAAAAGAAAAAATCAGTCTATTGTGGGAATTGGGAAGTCATTTTGTAGTCCACAGTGTTCAGATAACTACAAAAAGAGTTTAAAAAAGGAGAAGGTCCTGCAGAGTTGGAGTAGAAGGTATGTTAAGAGGAAAAATGCCCTATCCAAGCCTATTTCCATACAAACAAGTACACTCTGACTAAATGTGGCCTCTCTACATGAGTGTAGCTCATTGGGTAATGCTAAAAGTTTTATCCATTACAAATGAACTATGCTAGAGAAATGAGTTCTACACATAATATAGAAATGGATATTTAATAGAATTTAAGATAGCATCAGAAGTTTTAAAAAATAATGCCCAAAGAAGAAATTTAGGATCAAAGCCATATTAGAAGCATCTATTTCAGCAGAGCTAGGAACTAGAGATTTCTCCACTTTTTGTGGTCGGGCTGAGTAGGTTGCAAGGAATCTGTGCTGATACTGGACCAGGGTACCAAGGCAACTTAAATTTCATGGGGAGACTTTTTGAAGACTATAATGTCTTCAAATTCTCAGTAAACCTAAAAGAAACACATGATTATTCTAAACCTCCACATGGAATTTCTCCATTTTTCTCATAACAATTTGTATTTACATTACAAATTCTTGAGATTATTGACCTGTCTCATAAACTTTGCAGATGTCTTAGTGATCAACATTAGCAGCTCTTTACCAAGAGAATCCATACTATCCTTTCTTAAACTGTTTATTGGAAGACTAAACCAGAGAGTACAGTAACATCACAGTTCAGTTATTAAAAATATGACTTCTGATAAACAAGAAATAGTTTCAGCCAGAAAGATCATCACTCACCTAGGTGTCCAGATAGTTACAAAAAGAGAGAATTTATTATGCAGGGAACACAGTCAAAGATTACATCTATACTTAGAGGCTGTGTCTAGACTGCATCCCTTTTTCGTAAAAGGGATGCAAATTAGACATTGCAATAGCAAATCATAGAATCATAGAACTGGAAGAGACCTCAGAAGGTCATCAAGTCCAGCCCCCTGCTCTAGGCAGGACCAATTCCAACTAAATCAACCCGGCCAGGGCTTTGTCAAGCCGAGACTTAAACACCTCTAGGGATGGAGACTCCACTACTTCCCTAGGTAACCCATTCCAGTGCTTCACCACCCTCCTAGTGAAATAGTTATTCCTAATATCCAACCTGGACCTCTCCCACCACAACTTGAGACCATTGCTCCTTGTTCTGCCATCTGTCACTGCTGAGAACAGCCTCCCTCCATCCTCTTTGGAACCTCCCTTCAGGAATTTGAAGGCTGCTATCAAATCCCCCCTCACTCCTCACTTCTGCAGATTAAACAGACCCAACTCCCTCAGCTTCTCCTCATAGGTCATATGCTCCAGCCCCCTAATCATTTTGGTTGCCCTCCGCTGGACCCTCTCCACATCCTTTTTGTAGTGGGTGGCCCAGAACTGGACACAATACTCCAGATGTGGCCTCACCAAAGCCGAATAAAGGGGAAT